ATTTACTTTACTTGCCTCGAAAATGAGCACGAGCGTCTTCCGCTAGCTCAGAAAGACGGTGTGAATGGCGACACTGCCCTCTAGTGACTAAAATGCAGTGTTGGAAACTCTGAAACGCATCATCTTGTCCTGTTGTTTAAATAAACTGATAAATTGACTTTTTGATAGTGTAACCTTAATTGTTGTACACATTTGGATTATTTTAATTATAGTCTACCATATTAATTTGTGTTGTATATTAAGTGGTGCAATATTATTTGAGTTTATTATATTGATTAATATTGCTTAATTGGGTTTATTATATAATTTCACCTGCCATTGTTTGCAGGGGAACAGGTGTGAATGTGACAGGTGTGTGTGCTCTGTGCACATGTCCTGCTAAGAGAGCAGAGTAAAGTTGAGTCAACTTTCCTGCCGTGTCAGTAGTGATTATAGGTCAGCTAAAAGAAAACTGTTGCAAAAATGGTTTATAATCAGTGCAAATACTCAAAATGAGAAGAAACTAAGGGATGATACAAGAGTAAAGTAGCAACATTTTTGTCTTGGTTTTAATTGGTTTCTTCTTCTGAAGCAGCAGGCTGCAGGAGGAGTGATTGCTTTTAGAGGATTCCTTCATCAGTCATGTTGCTCTAACGAGGCCTCCTGTCTTCTCTCCACAAGGTGGAGTCATAAGACTGAGTGTTGGGGTCCATCTGTCAATGGAGCTGAATTCTTTTGGGATAATTTTGTCTTTGAAGTCACAGGAAGAAGCTATACAAATAATCATTTATTGAACTATTGCATGTGATTCTAGTTCATTGTACCCACACTGAACACCTCTCTCCAATGGGAGCTATTTGCGTAAAAGTAACAGTCTCAGCCAGCTCCCATTCAGCTCCCACTGACACTTATGTGATCACGAACGTTCTTCAGCCTCACTATCAACATTATTACATTTACCAATCATTACTTTAATGAGTGGGTTAGAGCGAGATAAAGATTTCTTTGCAAATTACAGCAATTTTATGTTTTTATCAATTATGAAAGACAGTATTCGCTGTTGGTAATCTGAAGAGCAACATTATCATTAATTGGATTTCCTCTGACATTGCTCAGTGCATCATGACTTTGTTACTGTTATGGTAAAATCTATTCATGTTTCCAAGACATAGCCTGTGCCGATTAATTTTTTTGACTCGCTGGATACAGACATTTATGTGAACCCGTTCATAACGCTCAATCTGCCGAAAAATGGTGAACTTACCCACTTCACTGACAAAGATAGCCTCTGTTATCTTTTCTTTTGGTTGTGTTGTGGTGAGCACAAACCTGCTGGGTCATTGTCACAGCAGCGTGTCTGTTGGTGTTGGTGCAGAGAAAGGATTCCCCACAGAGAGTCTGCATGCACCGGGGAACAGGCAGGGACAGGGGTCAGCACCTCAGTTTGGTCTGCAATGACCTGTTCTGCTTTCCATCATAATCCATTTTCACAGGTGCCTTTTCGTTATTGTGCATGGGAAGTTTTCTTTTTGCCTGGAAAACCCTGAGATACTTTCTCTAATATTTCATATTTGACTTAAAGAATTTTCTCTGCAGAGGTGCAGTTGTGGAGGAAGTATTGAGATCATTTAATTAAGTAAAATGTCATCAATTATGAACTCTATCGCTGACACTGTCATGTCTGTTATATGTAAACACTGAAATCCTGAATTAATGAAATGAACAGATGTTTTGCAAATGTGTCATTATTATTGGACTTGTTTTTCCTTCTGACAATAACCTAAAAAAAAATATCACACTTAGTTATTATATGAAGCATTGTCGGTGTGTAAATTGTATCATTTGATGCAAGAAAGACTAAAGATAATGACAGGTTGGTTCCTTTGGGTGAATATGTATCACCAATGAGAGGTGAAATCCTTCATATATCTTTAAGTGAAATTTACACTCAAAGTGGGAGTTAATAATGGGGAAAAAAAGAAAAAAAGGAGAGAAGGAGAGCAGGAAGGAAAACAGTGTGAGCTTATTGTGGTATAAAATCTGCTCAGTTACCTGCTCACAGTTAAAGCAACTCTGCTCTAAATCAATTTCACTGAGCCATCCTGCACACAATCAGAGCAACATGACCTCATTACTAGTTTAGTAAAATGACTACAGGTTGCCAAGACATGTCATCCTCTTTATAGAAACACAAGCGGTTGTACTTCTGCCTCACTGGGTAACTACAGACACCCACGCCGCCTGCTATTCATAAAGCTTGATCCACACACACACACAAAAAAAAAGAGTGTTACAACAGCAGGCGGCGGCTGTTCTGTTATCTTTTCCAGTGGTTGAGTTGTGTGCGGGGATCTGATCACACTGTGTGTCTTGCTGTGTTTGTGGACGGCAGATGTACAATGATGAGTAAACAGGACGGTCGCCTTTGCCAGCAGCTGTTGGGTCCGATGCCAAGTGATGGGCAACATGTTAGGGAGGAGCTGTTTGCACTGCCGCCGCTGGCTCTTCTCAGATAACGGATGAGTTATCTTCACAACCTGCACACCTTCGTTTTTCAGCCGCCACTGTGTGTACAGTTGTGTCTTTTATGGCTTTGTTTTTATGGATGATACACAAAGGATCAGTCAATCAGAGTTTTTTTTTTTTTCAATAGATCCACACCACAGACAGTAACCTACAATCAAGCAAAATTTCAGCGTTATTTATAAAATGTATAGACGTCCCAAGCATGTATTAACATCTGTCTTAATCTTATAATCATGGCACTACAACATGACAAACAAATTCACTGAAGGTATAACACTAATTTGTTCCTGAATATCCATCTTAACACAGCTCAAAGTTACACACGCTCACTCACTGCGGCTGATGCAAGCATTAAAAAGAAAATAAATAAATAATAGCACTTCTGTCAAAGGAGCAGTTTCATGACTCAGAGAAGAAGCTTGGCAGGACACACTCATCTTCTTTCCCACCACATACAGTGACAAGCACTAACCACAGTTGATCCATACGACATGAATGCAGGATAATCGGCCTTAACTGGATGTTTTATACAACAAGAAGCACACAAACAGGCACTTGGATTAAGGTATCATCTCCGGTTCCTGTTTCTGTTCCTGGCAAATTAATATACATCCTGGGGATGAGCAATAAGCATTCAACAACACACTGAATAAGTTACCCTCAGGCGGGTTTTGCACAATACAGACAACAGACTTAGTCTGCTGGCCTTTCATCAGGATATTTTATTTGCAGCCTTATATTTGAAAATGCCAATCAGTCCTGTCAATCATACGAGACACTTCCATCTAGTAAACCGCAAAACACTCCAGACACTCAAACAGCAAGGGGACAGCCAAGCTACGTAGAGGAAGTCTTGTGAGCAGGCAGCATCTCTGCATGAGTGTTGTCCTTGCTGTCAGAGGTCAAGGTGGGGTTATCACCTGTGTCACACATCTCTGACATGGGCAGCTCCCTGGCTCCATCCTGGCAGGCAGGCGGAGCGTCGCCCCCATGGCTGGAGCTGGACTTGTGAGAGGAGTTGCGGGAGCTGGTGGGGCTGAGCTGAACAGCCGTAGTGTCCTGCAGCGTGTGCTCACTCGTCTCCATCTCAAACGCTGCTGTCCCCATCCGCATCAGCCCCCACTTCTCACCCCCTTTAGCCTTGCGGGCCATGTGGGCCGGGGGTCTCCTGCTGACCACACAGCAGGCTGTGAAGAAAGCCAGGGCAATCAATAGGAGAAGAGGACCTATGATGATTGGAGGGTTGCCAGTAGGGATGAAGGTGCCAAAGGCGAACGCTCCCACCAGGGTGATGTTAATGCCAGCCAGCATGATGCACAGGCCGCAGGCGCAGCACAGGGCCGGGGAGGGCAGGCTCTGGTGCCACAGAGCGCGCTGCTTGGGGACCTTCTTCTGAGCAGAAGGTCTGGAGGTTTTTTCAGGTAGCACCATGTCTCATGGAGAGCTCTGTGAGACCCAGAGAAGCTGGAGAACAGATGACCTGCTGATCACTGAACTCATCACCTGAGAGAGAGGGATGGAGGTGAAGTAGCTAAAGAGGAGGAAATAACTCTGGAAACATTTAATTCAAAAGTAATTTATATGATTTTTTTAAAAGATAAAAACATGGATAAATTCATTTCCTCTACAAATTTACAGCAAAGGCAGAACACATAATGCAAGCACTATTCCTCGTGATAACACTCTCATTATGAAGCAAAACAGAAGCGACTCTAAAATCACATTTTCCTGCTTCCAGACTCGCACGGGAAACCTGGAAACGACTCTGCCGCGACATTATGACGATGTGCTCTCAGTGTCACTTACATTAGCTCAGACGCATAATTCAGTCAAGTGTTTCGCCGTCTCTCCCCCGTCCGTCACGTCGTGCCGGAGTGGCAGGAGTTGGAGGTGGTCTCTCTCCCTCCAGCAGGTGAATAGTAGAGTGAAACTGCCGCTGCTCACACACCACATGTTGTAATGAAGATGAGCCACTAGAGGCGCTATAGAGCTGTTTGAAACCACCGGTCCAATCAAACCGGCCAGTGAAGTGGTTTAAGTTTTGTCATCAACATGTGACACACGGGGGATGATCTGAGAAATCGGCAAGGAGGATCCAGGATGAGTCAATTTCACTTCTGCTTCTTGTTTTATTTTTACTTTAAGCCACCATTAAAATTATAATAAAAGTATTATTGTTATACCATCTAGGCCTCTCTTTAAAGCATTCAGGTTATCAGCAGCCAGATGCCATGTACACATACTCCTCCAGTCCTCTGCTTTTAAAGCAACGAGGACACAGCCTCTGTCAGAGCGATGTTATCAGGTCAGTGTGTGGGCAGGTTAATCACACCCCCTTCCTGTGCCCTCACCATCCTCTCCGTCATCATACAGTACATAACGACCTTCACCGACTGAAAACTGCACAACTAAACCACATTTACTCCTGAATGAGATCTTGCAGTGTATCAGTAACAAATGAACTAATTACGTTGCATCACACAGTTCAGACAAGAGAAGGTGTAAAGGATCTTTTTATTGAGAACACAGCATACCAGTGAAAATACGCTCTGGACTGAGCGCTCTATGCATAAGACCCCATAAGAGACACATTTCAATGGGACTCCATAATTGCATACAAATCACTGATTCTCATTTCATGACATTACAAGTTGATGTGGGGAAACAAACAGCTTTTATGATTTCTAATGGGAGTGAGGGGGCTTTACCATAGAGAGTGGTTGTTTCCTAATGGGTGTATTCGCTCTGAGCAAATCTGTCAGTTCCTGCCAGCCTATGAAGTCCCTTAGTTGCTATAGGGATGGGGTGTCCATGGCAACAGTGTGAAATCAGGGGACATGTTGTTTAGAGGGCAACACATAAAATTAACAGTTAGGGTTAATAGAAGTGATAGACTGTCACTGTGACCCCCATTCAAACACAGACTGGGTCCTCAAAGAATAAAACAAATTAAAAAAAAAGTAAAACTATTTCTTTTATATAAAAAAAAGGATAAAAATCAGCAAATTGATGGACCTAAGAAAATCAAAGAGAAGTTTTAGCTTAGTTAGTCCATCATTCTTTCAATAGGCACAGTCACAGAACCAAAATACAAAACTGAACAATATACAAATACTTGTATAAAAATAAATCCCTTCAACCCCAGTATGGAATCCTCTGTCAATTTCACTATCGCGTAACATCAACAATTCACAAAACCGCTCTCAGTCTCTTCACCTACTGTACATACCACCTGAAACAATTCAAATTCTCACATTTCATTCTGACTGAAAACACTCAGTGATATCAAATTAATAAGACACCTAATTAGCAACTAAAGCAAGTCTTTTTGGGGTGGTGTTTCTTTCTTTTCTTTCTTTCTTTTTTTTTTTTTTAACAGTACAAAACGTGGTGCAAAAAAAAAAAAGCCTGAGGTAATGTTGTGGACTCTAATGAGGATAAAAAGTCGTTAAAGCCTCTTTAAATATAAATCTCTACTGCAGGTGTCAAATTCACATTGTTGGACCATCAGTTTGGTTCAACAATGTGAATTTATGATTCAATATTTTCCCTTTAAAATAAATAAGTGACTTATTTTAAAGTACATCTGTGCTACAGGTAGCTTGTGTTGCTAAGAATGCTAGAAATGAAAAGAAATAAACAGTTTGATCAGAGTGTATTCTCTAACTGCATTATATATCCATTCAGATTCCTGCACGTTCTCTAAGCTGTCTATGCTCTTTAAAACACCAGACAAGACAAGACTTAAATATGCAGGTAAAATGGAAAAAAAAAGCCCTAGTCTCCTCTAACTGTCATCCATTTTTATCATCTAAACAACTACATCCACACACATCCAATCACATACACATACATGCTTAAAAAATTAAAGACAGATCATCCCTTTCCTCCAGTGACTGAGAAGCAATAAGCATTTAAATAAAATATCAATTAATTCACAGTTGGACAACAAGAAAAATAAAAGCTATTAGAATTACATAATATTGCATTAGGACAGCAACAGCTGCATTACTGCGCTGGACCTAGGTAATGCTGTGATTATGATATGTACTGACTAGATATTGGAATATAAATTGCTGGCATTAAGAGCGGTTTCTGCTGTTTTGGGGTGATCATACATACACTACGTGTGAATTTCTAAAACCCAAAGCTATTCACAAATGAAAAAGTCCTTGTTTAAAACTGAGGCAGCTTAAAATGACTCCTGGACAAATCTCAGGAGTTTCAACTACGTTTTCAATTAAAAGGTGGTAGCCGAGGATAAAATGTCCCTTTGGTGCTCGAACTCTTGTCTACGTGATAAGATTACTGGCCATGGGAAAGAGCTTTAACACCAGGAACAGTTAGTCACTTCTGATGACATGTGTCTGTATCCTACAAGGCTCCCTGTCAAAACAAAACACACACACACTCACACACACTCACACAGAAGGGGCAGGTAGAGGTTAAAATCAGCCAGAGAACATGACGAAGGGGGCTTGTACTGGTCCTTCAGGCTGCAAGGTCGTCTGAAGCGGGTGCAAAGTCCCTGGTGCGCAGGGCATTGGACTGCGCCCGTCTACGAGCCAGTCTGGAGTTGGAAGGAGGAGAGAGCCTCATGGAGCAAACGACCACTGCGACGTCTTCCTGCTGCTCGTCGTGCTGGGATAGCTGCCGGTTAAAGGCAATGGCTTCTGCTGCAAACTGGGTCAGGTCTTTGGTGCTGCTGTTCCTGAAAGAACAGAGGAGACAGAGGAGGATTTGAGACAAAGTTGACCAACCAACCACATGGAGTTCTATTTTCGTGTCAGCACGACCTCAACAGTTTAGCATCTTGGTGACTCGCTGTTCGTTGCAGATTTTCTCGTTAACGCTCTCCTTTGACATTGGGCTTAAATCCGGTATATTGTCAAATTGGTGCATTTGCTTTTCACTTTGACAACAAATGCTCCACCATTGTCTTGTCATTCAGCTCTCCTCTTATCACTCCGCTCTGCTGCAGCATGGAGCAGACACTTTCAGTTTATAATTGTAGCCTCCAACTATGTATTGATAAGTAGATTTTACAAATTCGTTTTTTATTTGATGAACATGGGCGCTACCACCGATACATTAAAATTAACCATATGGGTTTTATGTCTATAAACAAAATGAAAAAAGATGGTGGGGCTGATGGTCAAGTTATGTAATAGGTGTGTGCCTGTTAATAATCCTACATTTTTTGTGGACCATTCCCAGGACCATGTTCATGTCACAATATGCAGATTAAGCAGGCAAGCTTCCTCAGATTGTCAGATTTTTTTTTATATGTATGAACAAATTGAACTAAGTGAAACTATCAAGATTATTTCAGAAATTAAGAAATGCAACAAGAAAACTACACTGCATTTTTTAATTCTATGTTCATGTAGTGGTACTAGATGCAGGGCAGATGGTTATAAATCATTGTGATGACAAATAAAAATCGCACACCATTACGCAAGGAAGGATGACCATAGGATCATCATGTTCAAAATGAATTCATAGGTGAATTCATATTTCAAACTCTGCAAACTCTCTCTTTAGGTTTCAAAAACTGTCCGTGCGTCATGATGGGGAGACCCCATGTTTAAAGGGGATGAAAGAAGTGAATGTGATTGGCCATGACTGTCACAACCTCTAACACCCCAACCTATAATGTATGATAATGTATTCTGTCTCATTTCCAAGTTTGCCACAGGGGCGCCAGGGCACAATACCAAAATGCGCTTTTGCTGTAATCTGAATTTACTTATCTCAACATTCTCTAATTTTGTTTGAAGCACCTCATTAACTTCATAATACTTTTGACTTGACTTTCTAAACTCTCAGTCATACCTCTGTAGGACATGAGGAGTTGGAAGACCTCTCTCTGGAGCATTCTGTAATAAAAAAAAGAAAGGGAGTAATTTACCTGAAATCACACGTTGAAATAAAATAGAAATAACACTGGAAGAATTACTGTGGTCTTGTATTAGACATGATTAAAGTACCAAGAACAAATCAGTTATTCTAGTGCACAGATGTAACGATACCCACCCCCTGCACCCAGGGGTGCTTGAGGACCTGAGCAGCACTGAGGCGCAGGGTGGCATCCCGAACCAACAGCTTGGATATGAGATCCTTGGCCCCCGCTGTGATGTGAGCCCAGTCCTTGTCTGGAAACTCATATTTGCCCTGCTGGATGCTCTCAAACAGGTTACTCTGAGGAGAGAGGATTACACAGTATCCTGTGAAACTGCTCAGCTGTCAGTGCTTTTCTAATTTATTTGTGGTGAAACAGAGGAGACACTCTCCACACAAAAATGTGGTCTAATGTTAGTCTGCCTATAGGTGAATGCCATTTAAAAAATGAAGCATACATCACTCAGTGTTTTTGGAGGAAATTTGCTGGTGACAGCTCCGGATGTGAACACACCCATCAAAGAGCTGAGTCTTAAGTACCAAAGTGAGCAAGTAGTAATCCTAGTAATGAAAGAAAGAACTAATACCATGTAGTATAAGTTAAGAGAGTTTGTCTTCCTGTTTGGACTAAGGACACAAACAACTGTAAGGAGCGATGTCATCACATGCACTTACAAAGCACACACATAGACGCAGGGGAGAAAAAGTTAACTACCAGTCGCTGAACAAACTGCTAAAACGGATCTGTCACGTCTCATCCCTGGGTTGTTGCTCCTGTATCAGCGTCAAAGCCTCTGTGTGAGACGCTTCAGCCGGTTATTGTGTGTTTTCAAAACTTATTTTGCGGCTGCAGCTCACTCTTTCATCCCTGAGTGCAGTGTAGCTGTAGTGTTACTGGTTTAACAGCACCATGCTGGGCAGGTGACATGCGTGTTTACAGAGTCTGTGCTCTGAAAGACACCACAGCAGGAAAAGGGTCGAAAATGAGCAGGTTCACTCGGGTGCTGTGTTTACATCAATGCTGATCAGAGCCAGAGCCAATAAATACCCGCGTCTACTGCAAAGTCATTTGACCCAGGTGTGAATGCCGACTGTTTTTCATTGCCGACAAAAGCCTGATGTTAGCGAGTCTTAGCTGATTTTTTGACCAGTGGAAAAAGGGGCTTAAGAGAGGTTTTTACAACACATGTCAAGGCTTGTTGCATACTGTACCTTTGTTCTGTGAACACCGTGGGAAGTAAACACTTATGGCTGTGTAAAGAGATAACGACAGTGACTGACTTCAGAGACTGATTGGGCAAGCATACCTGGCAGGTTCTGCAGGTTTCTCCCCGATCCCAGCCGCAGTCGGTGCCACAGTGGCCTATGAAGGGGGGGCTTCCGCTCAGCAGGATGTACAGAATGACCCCAAGGCTCCAAAGGTCACAGCGCTTGTCATAGAAGGAGGCTTCATCAGTGAACACCTCCACTACTTCTGGAGCCATGTACTCAGCTGAGCCACACTAAGAGAGGGCAAAAATTAAAAGGAGTAAAGTAACTGTTATCCATCATACTGATTCTGTTCGTGTGTATGCAATGAATTCAAAAGTAGACTGTTACCGGTGTGGTGAGCTCTGGAGTCGTTATGGGTGTACAGGCACTGCTGAGCTTCACTCCACTTCCCAAGTCAAAATCACAGATCTTCACTGGTGACACCTGAGAAGAAAGATATAGGAAAAACATTTTCATAATGTTATACTCTACAGCTTTAGGAGTAACCAGTGTCCTTCTGAAAGCTTCCTGTCCTTTAATGGCCACTTACCCGATCAGTGTATTCACAAAGAATGTTCTCCAGCTTAAGGTCTCTATGGGCAATGCCTGGAGAAAAACACATTGTCATCATGATGAAATGAAAAGGAAAAATCCACAGATTTTCTGTTTTGACTTTGGTAGGATAGCTGTTGGGATGTTGACCAACCTTTAGTGTGTAAGAAGTCAAGTGCTTGGGCAATGTCCCTGACCACCTTACTGGCCTCCAGCTCATCAAAGTGCTTTCGGTTCTGAATGTGTGTGAGAATGGAGCCTGAAGGAAGACAAGAGAATCACTGATGAGTCATCTGAAACAGCTATACGTACGAAGACACTATAATTGGTGAGATAATCATTTATACTAACCTCCACGCAGCTTTTCAAATACCAAATAAAAGCATGAGCTGTCTTCAAAGAACTGGATCAATTCCAAAATATTCCTAGAACAAGATATTTCCAGCTGATTAGAATCCATTTCATTGTGTTGTTTTTTTGTATTTTTTTAATTTCTAAATTAAATAAATGCACTCACTTGTTTCCTTGACACTGGTAGAGTGTCTCCACTTCTCGAAAGACTCTGCTGCGGCTGTGTCCTGCACTTTTTTCTATGATCTTTGTAAACCAAAACAGACAGAACGCTATTAGTTGCCTGAGTAAAAAAAAAAAACATTTTGATTTCACACTGTTAAACTTGTATTTTTTTGTTATTCATTATGTTAATTATGTTTAATGTTTTAGTTTAACTGTAAACAAACTTTCATCCTCAGCCAATCTATACTGTATAAATTACATTTAAATGACTAAAGACTACAAAATATCCTCACTCACCTTCACAGCAAACTCCTGCCCATTCTGCAGGCTTATGCATCCTTGAACCTTAGCATATGCTCCCTGACCAAGCACCTCATCTGTCAGCTTGTAGAGGTCTGGAAAAGAAGTAAATATAGTGGTGTAACAGATGTATGCATTTAAAAATTTAACATTTTCTATTTTGTCCATATGTGTCTCATAATATTCAAATCAATACCATCAAAAGTGCCTGTGGAGCTGTCTGTTGCCCTTGTTCTTTTCTTCTTCTTTCTTTTAGCTGCATCTGGGATGTTCACTGGCTGGCTTTTCTCAAAATCTGCTGTAAAACAGAGGAATCCATATGGAAGAAAATTAGCTTAAACAGCACAGACTTTGCCACTGTAATAGGCTGTTCTGAATAATAAAGCTATTGTACCTGATGGGCCTTGGGAAAGGTGCTGTCTGTCCTCTGTGGAGATACCGTTCTCCTGAGTCCCCCCGTAGCTCTGCCCTACTTGGCCAAAAGCCAGGGAGTTACCCTGTAACAGACGCAGGCCGAGGGGCACAGAGGGAGGGAAAGTGCAGTCAGAGAGATCAGGTGGTGGTATGGTAGAGTAAGCTCGAGAAGGACTACATAATTCTGCCACTTTGTTTTCAGTGTAAAAGTGAAAGAGTAAGTTCTCCAGCAAGATAACACATAAAACTGATCAATCATAGTTTTGCAAAAATTATACCACCGTAAACAAATGATCATATAACTACTATTATAACCTTATTGACCATCTTCCCCTTTGGCAACCTGCCAAAACAGGGGCCTGTTGAGAATACAGGAAACACCTCGACAGGCCTTATCTCTCCCTGGATATTGCCAGAAGCATTCACACAACCAGTCACAGTACATGACTCATGTAGAGTGATGAAACTTCTGTTTCAGTGTAGATAACCTTCACAGTGTGTGCGCCACTTTCTGGCAGCTTGATGTTTATCTAATGAAACATGTTTCAGGAAGTTAGAGGTTTTGAAATCACCAATAATAACAGTTCAACTCCTACCTGGAGAGAGTGCTGGAAGGCTTGCAACTCCGCCATCACGCTGTGCCTCACCATATCTGCCAACTGAGAAAGTACATCACAAATATTCAGCTAGTCTGGAACAAACTGCGTCAGCAGACACATAAATATTCATTCATGAAAGCCACACAGGTCCATCAATCTCCAGGAGGTGACTTGACATGTACAATAAAACTATTTCTACAAGAGATTTCCTCTTTCTTTTACTCTCTAGTGTCACAATTTATTTCGGTTTGGTTGCGGTTACTGCTGTGACAGAAGCTTCAAGTTCTGTCTGTTAAGTTAGTAAGCCTCCTGCCAGATGTTATGCTACGGTAAGGGAATGCACTGGATTGCTGTTTATGTAACTATACTATCTAGCGTTATGACAGCTCAAAGTGATACTGACGTTATATGGTTAGCTTAGTGTTAATGTCGGTGGTTAACTACAACCAACCAAGACAGCAGCTAAAAATAGCCACGTCGTTACTTAACATAAGCACTGTTGTTACAAAAATGTGGGCACCAACATCAAGAGGGAACAATATATAGAAGATTGACCTATAAGAAGGCTGTTAGAAAAGCTACAGTGAGCGTTAACAGAACGATCCGAAGTTGTTATTGTCGTTAGCCAAAGCTAGCTAGCAAGAGCCTTTAGCTGGCTGCTGCTGTTAGCTATTGTACGGTTTAACTTCCATTCGCAAGTTTGTATTTAGACACCGGTCAGGTAGCGTTAAAAAATATATAGATGCAATAAAGAAAAGCCTTCTAACCTGGACTCTGTGTCCAAACCAGCCAGGTCCCGTCTGTCAAAGCCTCTGCCAGCTGATGTAAGCATCCATTGCTAGCTGAGATCCATCAGTCAGACAGCCGGTGACGCACAGGGCGGGAAAACACATAAACAGACATTTGCTCCTCCCCTTTATACATGTATCCTTTTCCTATTGGTCCAGAATGAGGCTACCGCTTCTACTTCACTTGGCTTTGCTCCCTGCCACACCCCACTCCACGTAGAGGGGATTTTTTGTGCATGATCAAGACCGGTTATTTACACATTTGTGTCAGAGCTCAGGGTTTTGGCAGATCAGTACTGGCTAGGGGAAGTGCGGCTCACGCCACATACCTACAATATTTCATCATTTGTATTTTTTTGGTTAAACATTTTACATTTATGTATAAACTACATTTATGTGGTGAAATCTGTCTTTGGCCTGGAACTGTTTAAATTGCAGCCTGTCTAGCAGATCAAACCTTAAAAGCAAATATATAATAAAGATGTAGGCCTATATATGACCTGCCATTGGTATTCATACTGTTAATATGCTGTTTTCTGTTAGCTCTGTTACACAGTGTTTACATCATTATTAAAATAGAGAAATGACAGTGTTTGTGTATATTTTGTATGGTGAGGTGCATTCAATTAGAAAAAAAACGTGGTCATTAGTCATTTTTCGACTGAACTTTTCTGTCTTTCAAAAATTTTGAAATAGAAAAACATCAAATAAAATACAAACTTTCATTCATCAAAATAAGACTCAACACTGGATATCAAAACATATATAAAGGTCAGACATACATGCAGGAGTAAAGAAAAAGGATAAGTACAGGAGATGTATTATTATAAAGCAATACAAAGTCCTATAATGATGGCATCACAGCACCATAATGACTTTAAGTAAAAACATGTGTGAAGGTACAGCGCCACCACCTGAAGAAGTGTGGTACGTAATTGGACCTTCCCAGTTATGCTTAGAAAACCACTCATGCAACTTTATGTAAAATTGTTCTTTGTTTTGAGTGTTTTGAAGCTGGTGTTTTCTCACGGGGCTCAGGTAACTTCAAAATGTAAACTCCTTTGTCCATGTGGTTTTGTTTAATTGCATATCTTCTCCGTCATCTCTTTCTGTAGGTGAAGAAAACAAAAGACATGTTTAACACTTCTTATTGTATGAGGAAATGAATGATAGTTATGCAGTGCAATGTACAATTTCAAAATGACGAACATCATTTCTTTTTGTAAGAAAGAAAGCTATTATTCCTATAGGACCAACTATAATGGGACAATAAAAACAGGGTCTGTTTACAAGATTTATCTTTTCTGTGGTGTGTTGACGTAAATTTCTCATCCCTATTTCACTTTGCAGGGGGAATTACACAGCCCAAGCAACATAATTGTGACCACTGAAGCCTTTTATTGATGCATGGAGCTCCATTCTCCATTAGCTCATATGTGATGATGGTCCCTTTGTTGGAAAAAAGCAACAACTATACAAACTCTGTCTCATTATGACTGCACAAAGTCAGCAAACGTCTTTTATGTGGGCTATTGCTTCAAACCGTAAAAATTTCTACAAAGCAGTTACGAGTTTCTTTCATGATAGAAAACTGGTGAGGTGCAAACTTATTATTATTTTAGGGAGAACACAGTTCATGTGTTGTATGTTCATAGTAAGACTGAGCGATGACGTAGCACATGCAGCTTGAGGAGACACACAAATTTCCCTGGGCCGCACGTGCACTTGCAGGGAAAACACACTGACATAACGATGAAATTCAGCCTCATCGAGCATGCTGGGTTATACACGACAGGATGGGTGATATTTTCTGCTAGACTGACAGTCATGAGAGTGATACCGACAACTCTCCTATTAGAAAACATCTATCTGATCCTCCTTCTCTTGCTCCCTCTCACTTTACCCTGACACATCTGAGGTCACACCATCATCTCACCAGGGGCTCCAGTTCAGAGTGATCAATGAGGTTGAACTCTGAGATGAAGTAGTAGTAGTGCTTGTAGCAGGTATTGATGTGGGCCTCTGCACCCATACTGCAGATGCTGTCAAAGTGATGGATGTAAACATGCACGAAGACTCTGAAGAGACGGCTCAGGATCTTCTTGCACACTTGCTGGAAGTTTTTGGGGAAAGGTACACCTAGAGCGAAGAAGAGAGATAAGTGTTACAGAAAGGAAAATACCTCCACCTGAGAATTCTTTTGATAAGATGTGAGAATTTTTTTTTATCCTTTTTTTCTAATTGAAACCCATCATTTGAGCAGATGTAGTATTCTGTAAGTAATAGAATTTCTCCTCAACAGCATCAATCATTGAGTTAGTGTATTTAAAAAAAATCTGATTTGCACGGACAACAAGGGAGAATACGTAATTTCAAGAACAATCAGGTGCTGCGTTGATAAAAATGAGAGAGAGAAAAGCTAAAAGTCAATAATGTTAAAAACACATGTTTCTGATGCACAAGAACTCAGTCAAGAAATCAGTCAAAATGTTTTGTGTTGAAGAACAGATGGAGGTGGAAGGTCATCTTATTTAGCAGAACTGAAGTTATGAAAATGAACACCCAAATAGAATTACAAATTAATGAGAACCTGATCTTTAGCATATTTATTGTCACAATAATCAATGACGTGAAAAGTAATGAGCAAGCTATCAGAAAGTTCAAATTAATAGCTAAAAGTAATAGAATCATCGTCTAATTTTTGCCTCTTCGAGTGGTAGTAATACAAATGTAAAATTGGCCAAGCCTAAACATCGCCATTTGTCTTACATGAATTGGTGTGTTTTCTCAGAGGTGATAAACTATCAAACAATTCCTTGAAGCTATCCCATCTATGGAAGGAGGCATATTAATGAGTTGTATTTCTGGGGGTGTGCCAGACAAAAAAGTTTAAGAACCACTGTACAAGAGCATATTGTTACACGTCCTGTGCTTACTCCATTTTCTATTTACTCCTGCTCAGGGCCATGGGAGGATTGTGCACATATTGGGCAAACAGCAGGGAAACACCCTGGACAAATAGCTAATAAACCTGTTCACACCTATGGAAAAAAATTCTATTTTAAATTACCTGCATGTCTGTGTCTAAATCCAAAGAGAAAGGCTTGGTCGAAATGGTTCAAACACATATGCCTCCTCTGAGACATGGATGGAGGAAATTCTCACCTCTAATAAGTGTTGATTGTGTTCAAATCTGGTGTTGAGATAAAGTAACACCACAGTCACCCGTTCATTCTCCTCTAAATGTCAACCTTATTGTTTAATTAACCTCTGCTTGAACTTCATTATCCCATTAGCGATCTTGATGAAGGAGAGCAGTGCAGCTCTTCAGCACTGATGCAGCACAACATCAGTGCAGGCAGAACTCAATCATGTATTAGGTTACACATTCAATAATGGCCTGACGCCTTCATTTGTTGACACCTCACACACACCTATTCTGGTGGGGAAGATGTCCTCATTATTGATGAGCGACTCTATCCAGTCCATCAGCAGGTTCATGTACTTGAGAGCTGGCAGCTTGGTGGGTTTCTTGTAGTCGTCACCGTCCTGCCACCTGTACTCGTACCTCAGCCCCCCGGACATGATGGGACACGTGCGCTCGGTGCAGTACTCGCTCACCGTGCCATAGATCAGGTTGATCCTGTTAAAGAAATCCACCACATGAACAGCAATCCAGTCATTGATATTCTCTCCCTCTGGTAGCTGAACCACTTTCCTCAGGTCCAAGCCGGACTTGAGCGAGGCCTGGGCCTTCTTATAGAGTTCAAATCGCTGGGTGCCTGGCTCAAAGCGTTTCCTTGGCCTGAATGTTCTGTCTTTGCTGAACACTTGTCCAAGACACAACGCCATTGACTTGGTCGTTTCCCCTGAGATAAGGGGAGAATGAGCTCTCCAGAATAATAATTAGTTTTGAGTATGATAGCGTGTGACCTTCCTGAGAGAGGGAACCAGGCTGGTTTCAGCTCTGAAATCAGGCCACGCAGGGGTCAGCGTCTGTTGTGCAAAGATTGCAGGGAGCTCTTGTTTTCAGATGGCGGGACGTCCCTGTGAAACAGAACAAGAGAAGTCAGCTTATTCTTTTCCTGTCAATTCACTACTTTAGGCAGAAATGAAAAAAAAAAAACTACCTCTAGGCTATATGACCAAATCAAACTGTCATCAAAATTCACAAGTCAAACATTTCAAGAACTAGGTCATTAAAATAACTCATGCGGGTCAAAGTCTGTATTCTCCCACTACAAAACAAACCAGTGAGTTCATCTCAAATGTGCCATTATTGCATCCACTGCTCTGCATGACTACACTGACCGTATCACAAGATTTTCAGTAGCACCCAGTGATAAAAATAGCAACAGTTTCAGTAAGTTGTGGCAAAAATCAGGCCACTAGATTCAAGCATAATTGAGAAAATGAATGGCATGCTGTGACTCACTAAGGATGAAACAGGATTATAGAAGCACAGTGGGAGAAAATGTCAGTCCAACAGTCTTATTGCTCAGATACAGCGCTTTGACACTCATTCAGAACACTGGGGGGTATGAAAGTAGATGCTATGAAAGAAATACACTTGACACTTAACATGAAAACTAATGGAAAACAGACTGTCAGTTCCTCCCTCGGGAAATGAGTCTTGGGATATGACACACAACCAATAGATTACTGAAGGCTATAAACCATCTGGCAGATAATACACACTGATTAGGGGTGGGACCTCACTGAGTGATTATGTGACCCAATGCCTTCATTGTTATGATAATAAAACATGAATGTTAGCATTTGAATACTAACTGAGTAGGTTATTATAGAAAAATACGGTGCACAGTTTCAATAAATAGGTATGTCATAAAATTAGAAGGGTTTCTTTTCATTTTGTTACACTGGCAACTCTCCATTGACTTGCCTGTTTCCATTCAGTACTTTGGAGGATTAAAGCATATGTTGCCTCCAGAGATTTTGACACTGCAATCACATTCAAGTGACTGTGGTTGCAACATGATACAATATCCGCATTTGTGTCCTGAGTCTCTTTTTGAACTGCCGGTCTTAACATTTCCTGCGTTTGCTTCTCTGTGACTCAAATTAGCAGAAGTTTCTGTCTCTGTATTTTCATCTGTACTTACAGTGTAGGCCAAACACTGATACGGCTGTTTGTTGTGAACTTATAGTTGACTGAGTGACTAATTTCAGAAGACTCAGACCCCTCACGTGTCTGTTGAGCTCATAGTTTTGCTGGTTTCTCCTCACTCTGTGAGTTCATTTGAGTAAATGGTGGGGATTTAAACTGCAGACAGCATTTGATATATGAGAAGGGTACTTTTACTTTCCACCAGCTTTCACAGTCAGCCTGATCTCAGCGCAAAACTCACCACTGGGGGAGCATGAATACGTGGTCATGAGATAGCTCTAAATGAGTCCATAACAAAAGGGCTTGTGAGGACGGCTCAAAGTTTTAGTGCTTCATTCACTCCTCGGATTTAGGGAGATACAGTTTCAGCCAAACATTAAATCTGAATACTCTTAGTTACTGAAGACAATGGTGAATTATATACAGCACCTGAGACCGAGTGGCCTTTATTTTGATCACTTTACGTCTCTCTGCATGCCTGAACAGCCTCAGCATGTCTGAAGTATGTCTGATCACGTACTGAGGTTGGCAGCCCTCCCTGCATACTTCCATGGTTTTTATAGTTTGTTTTTCTGACACTGCAAACTAATAAAAGTCCTGACGCAAAAAGCAAAAAGCAAAAAGCAAAAAGCAAAAAGCAAAAAGAAAACCATTGCGTCTACACATAAAACACTGCAGGTTGCAGAAACCAGACACAAGGGAGGAGACAGAGGGATATTAAAAACAAGAGATTATTGAATGGAAAAAGCTGTCTGCACCGTACCTGGCTGAAATCCTACAGCGGAGGGTCTGGGACAGGGTGGAAAGTCGTGGGAAGTTCAGGGAGGATTTGGGCGTCGGAACTCTTGACTTTAAACTCCCTGTGGAGGTTAGCTCCAGCTGCTCTGCCCCCCTCTCGCCTCCTCTGGATCTTCTCCCTCCCTGCCGGCCACTAACAGACCGAGAGGCTCCAACTTCACTCGGCAGCAGAGACAACACAGTAAAGAGAGAAAAAGTTGTTTGGCTTCTCTTCCTGTTGGTGATGTCACATCCTGACTTTGTCTACTGGGCCCTGCTGTTGGTGTCTACATCTGTGTGTGCGTCTGTGTGTGTCTGTATGTGGGTGTGTGTATAGAGGACCTATAAATTGAAAGAGAAGAAGGGCTGGAAAAGGTCTTTCCAAACCCCTACTCAGCCCTCCCCCTTTTCCTTTTTTTTTTTTTTTTTTTTTGCTCTTTCTTCTTGTCCTGCAGGCAGAGCCCGGCCCTCTGGTAAAGGTCCTGAGAAAACAACCCCTCCTTTTGAGCCACATATAGGACAGAAGGAGCAGAATGATCCCACAAATATTTCTGGATGTTTGGCAGTCCATGTTGCTCCTTTTTTTGTCAAGTCTCAATAACATATAATTTAAATTCTTGGCCTTTTAAAGATATTGTAGTTGAACTCAGAGCTTACCCTTAAATAGAGAAAGAGCTATTCACCAAAAAATGCTTTTCAAAACATTGACAAGAATCTGCATTCAACAAACAGGGGCTTGTTTGTCTGAAATAGTCCATTTCCCTGTGCTCTTGAGGGGCTGAGTGATAGCTGACATGACTGTTCCCATTGTCTTGAAGGTGAATGGGTGCCACTAAAATGCAGAGGGTGTCTGTTTCTCTACTGTGTAATGAAACACAACCTGCAAAAAGAAGATGGCTAGACTCTTTGTGACATGATTCCCTCCAGTATGGGAGGGATAAAACTGTCGCACAAAGGATGAGATAAACTGATAGCAAGTTTTCAAGTTGTAATGTTCATGCTTGCTGCAGTAGGATCTCACAGGTTGAGCTTAATGATGTGATTATTGTTTTTAAAAATGCAGATGTAGACATTTGGCTGTGTGGATGCAACAGTTATGATTGATATATAACTGTTTCTTAATTTAGGAGCAACCACTGGAAAAGCCAGCGGTACAGACAACTGGACAGACAACTAGAACAAGATTCATGACATTTTGATGACGTTTTGGCATTCAAGTTACTATTTGAGCTGAGGTGGTGAGATTCACAATTTTGGGTTCATCCCTGGGACAGCAGTAAGATCTACATTAAATCTGAATTGCTTCCTTGACCTTTTATCACAATATACAAGATGTTTATTATTGTTAAACTGGAAGGAGTCTGAGCCCATATCTCACACTTTGCTGAGTTCAAGATGTGTTGTTGGATCATTGATTAAGGTTAGAGAAGATAAAGATGCATTCACGCCAGACTTAATCGATACCCACAGATTAAACCTGTGCGTGTGTGTATGTGTGTGTGTGTGTGTGTTTGGGTTCAATAAGAAGAACAAAAAAAAAAATTCTGATTTGCAGTTATCCAGCATGTCCACTTGGGGTCACCATGACTGTGCTTATGAATGATGTGTTATGGTGCTACTGCATTTGTCTTTAGGGTTATCAGTGAGTGATCTGTGAGGAGAACACAATGTGTCTTCTTCTTCTTCCATACTGGTAAAAAAAAAATGTACACGTGACAAAAACCTTTACATTGTAAGACTACAAAAATATAATTTTTGATATGTTCCAGTCATGATTGGTGTTGGAGGTTTTAGTGGAAACGCTAATGTTGTATTTTGCACAATATATAAAGACAGTATCATAAATGGAAGTGGAAGTGGAAGTAAAAGTGGAAGTAGATTACACTACTATGTTTGAATGTTAAAGTACATTGGGAGCAGGAGTGTACTTGGATTAGATTGCCAAATTCAATAAAACAAGCTAAAAGTCACTATCTTAGAAAAAAAAAAAAAAAAAAAAAAAAAACCCTTTTTTAAAAAAAAAAAAAAAAAAAAAAAAAAAACTGCCAACAGTGACAACATACACATGAGATATGCATGACATATTAGGTATGCTGCTGCCCTGTGCCCTACTTTTGCTCTTAGCGTTATTGTCATCAACCAGTAATGTCACACAGGAGGAAGTGAAACCAGTCAGGCCTTCTTTCACCTTTGATCGCATGGTTACTATTCACCAAAAGCACGCTGCCTGTCGCTCTGAACCCTCAAACCTGTCGCACAGATTCCACACAGAAGCCTCAAAATAAGCACAGAGTTTACCACTTTTACCTGAGGATTTGGGGAAGGTGATGTGTCTGTATTTTGAACTGCAAACAAGTTTTGTTATCACCTGTTCTCAATTTAAGTAAAAGTGAAATTAGGAAAAAGACATTTTAAGGTATTTTTGTATTTTATGTTTATATTAGGCATATATCTTTATAATATAAGAGAATGAGACACCTTCCAAGCATTTTATTGTCAGTTCAGCCTTTGTCTGGGTTAACAGGAGGAGAGGTTTTTGTGTATTCATGTGTATTATCTGTACTTAAACTAGTCACAGATAGTGTAGGATGAGTAGTCCTCTCTGGTTCAAAAGTTCTCCTGGTGGCCCCAGGTAAGAGAGGACCCGCACTAAAAGCAGCAGGTGGACAGTTTACTACCTCACAGGTGGTTATGATTTACGATCACACAAGGAGAGCAGGTGTCTGACACATTGTCCTGCAACTTTGCTGCAGGCTCAGTACCTTCTCTCTGTGATCATTATGGGTGAAGCTCACCCACAAGTTTTGACTATCCATCATCTCACTTTAGCAGGCTGCGAGTTCAGGAGCCTTTTTTAAAAATTCATTTAAAGTGTGTTGCATAAACTGCCATATACCTGAGCTGTGGTATGGTTTATACAGTGAAGCCTGTGTATGTATGTAAAACATCTTGCTACTGCTGCTGTTTTACATACATATACAAACACACTTTTATCTTTACTAGGGATCAGAGTCTGTCAATAATTGATTTGAAGACTGAATAAACCGTAGAATGATAACAGTGCCATGTAAATACTGTCCCTCTTTCATCCTCCAGTGTGACCAGTGGGGGATGAACACTGTTCAGAGGAATAAAAGGTGTGTCAGATATGCTTCAAGTCCATTATTCTACTTTTATCTTATATCTTTATTTTTATTTTTCTATATTTTCCATTATTCTAATTATGGATATTGAGATTGTTTTACCAGGATAATTTAAGTATTTATCATATCATTTCCTATAATATGATGTCACCAACTAACCTGGAGTTATGGAACAAAATTGAAATAATTATTTAACTTCATTGGGTCATTTTTGCAGTTGTTTGTGATTCAATGCTCTGCTTCTCAAACTGTCAAACGAAATCACCATCACTTCCTCTGCAGTATATCAATGTTTTAATAGTGGTAGTGTAAGAATATACCTTACTGTATATGATTATATTAAGCATGTCCACTCCCATTAGAGCCAGGTGTCACCTCTACGGGACACAGCAAGCATCACTTTGCCCAATGACAGCTGAATCTGCTGCAATGAAGCAGAAGTGATTGATTTTGGTTCTACGGTGACTGACATTTGATACAGTCGATTACGTCCATATTAGGCGACCAACTCACAGCAGAGTAGAAATGACTCCACCTTTTTTTCCAGCTCCATCAAAGGGTTGGGTCAGGAGGAGGAAGATTTAAGCGGAGAGGAAGAGGAAGCAGAGCTGACTTCTTCAGACACGCGTTGGGCCACATTAGCAGCCTGAATTCGACAGAGTCCAAAGGTTTCATTCAGCACAAGTGAGTAGCAAACCTTTCTGACATTTCTTTCACCTAATTCAACAGTTAGCTACATGTTCACTTCCCGCGTCAAAGAGCTTTTTCTTACTTTAAGGTGCGTTTCTCTCCGTAGGGGGAGGGGGGAGGGGGGGATGTAGATGTTGGGGGCGCCCATTTATGCAACGTCATATTATTAATATAATATACATTCATTTGGCTTCGTTTGTTATTTGTTTTGAAAACAAGAACATCTCTGACGTAAACGAAAAAAACAGACTTTTTTGTTTCTAAATTAAGAGTCGGTTTTGTTTTTCACCCTTGACCTTATATCCGGTGTTGCGTTGAAATGTGTGTCCCTTGAAAACGTGTTGTTGGCGCGTAAATTTACATACCAATCAGCTTTCGATATGTGGGCTATTGATGGTCCTGTGCATGAGTCCGCTTCTCATCATTTGCACCTGTGCTGTGGACAAAGGGCTCATTGACAGCCTGCGCACAGTGGCCATTGTTGCTCTGCCCTTTGAAGGCAGGTGGTATTGTTGACTGTCGTCTATTTTGTCGGTTGTAGCTGTCAAACATATCTGTGGAAGTGATGAGGAGAACACACTGAGGTGTCTAACGGGAAGGATAAGAAGTATTGCACATGTAGTTTCACTTTAGTGGACCACAGGAAATGAAACCTGTTGATCAAATGTTATAACGGTGTCTAACGGTTTAAGCCAGCTCTCATGCTCATTTGCGTATGTTCAGTGTGATCACCAAGAGGCCAAATACATTTTTAAAGGCACAATAGTCTCTTTTTCTTCAGGTGTGTCTTTGCTAGTGTATGTGCACTTACTGGAATAATTGACGTGGTTAAATAACTAACACATAATAGTTAAATCATGTTGAAATCAGCTTGAACTTTACCTGTTCTTGAGTTAAGTCAGCCAAGTTGAAAGAAAAACAAAGAGAAGGTGTTTAACAAAAATATTGCTAAGAATTGATATCGGGGCCGTGGGGGGATATGGGGCAAAAAAGAAGGAAGCCTGCATTATAAGAGTGACTTCAGAGGTCAGTGAGGTCACCAGCTTGGCAAGGCTGGATGATAACATTTATTTTTTTTAATGGTATTGCCCCATAAATGTATTGAGAAATTGTCAAACCACACTTTAAAGGATTTTTTTCTTAAACATTTGATTAACTGAATAGGAGTTTTTCTTTTTAATTTATGAATCTGATCCAGATATGGTTGCACTGTGTGTCACACTTTAAATGTTTGCAGTGTTGGAAGTGACGCAGACCGTGTTAAGTTTAAACTGTGTAACAATACAACATTTTTGATTGGTGTGTGTGTGTGTGTGGGGGGGGCTTTCTCTAACTGCACATTGAGAAGACATCATTTACAAAACATGAACTACTTGGCTGTTACAAAAATTAGCAGACGCTCAGAACCTCCAGCATGGGGATTGGCCCCCATTGATTCTTTTGTTCCCAGGTGATGGTCTCCCAAGGTAGATTAAGGATCACCGACTGTGTGTAGACATGTAAACATTAGCTGTAACTAAGGACTGTGGGATGGAGACAAAGGGCCGCAAGGTCAGCCAGCCCGGGTGTATCTCTGATAGTAATGCAAACACTACGGCAGCATTGTGACTGTTAATGCCTCAAGGTTGCATATTGTTATCACTTCATCAGCCTCCAGTGTCAACACGCCCTCGCTGGAGCACGGGAGCAGAGGTGATATTGAAAGTAAAAGCTTCAGCCAGTATAAATGCTCTTTTTTCCCTTTTTTTTAAACTGTTTTTTCTATTCTCTTAGCAGCTGCAGTAAAGTGCTTTGCTAAGGACAGGAAAATGTTAGTCATTCACTTTTCCCTTACCACATATTCCCAACCAGCCTGGTGTTTAAGGGATCCTTGTGAAAACACCATTTACTTTTCAGTGACTAATTCACTGAAGCACAAAGTGCGATAGTCTCGCAGATAGCTGACAGTTTGTGATCCTGACTATTTGTTATTCAGTGTTCCCCAGGCTGTTTGTACATCGTTTCGAGCCCTAGATGGAGATCAGCGGCTTCAAAATGAGTCTCTGGCAAACTGTACAACTGTTGCTCTTTGCTTTAGATGGTGTCAGTTGACTTGGGGCCCATGTATGCTTTGTAAGGTAAATAAATTATTCAAATCCTGTTGGTCTGTGAGGCAAAATTTAAAGTCCTCATTGTTCTTTATGTCCCATGTTAGTGGAGAGAAGCTGCTTTACTTGACTCTGACATGTTTGCAAGCTAAATGCTCCAAACGGCAGTGAAAGGTACCATTGAAACAATCTGATCTCTTTGAACAGAGTACTCCTTTGGTGATATTTTAGGAAAGTGTTTGTTTTAGTAAGTCCTCTTCCTGTGGGTGGAGATGCCTCTGTACCTGACATTCAGTGTTTCATTCAGGCCAGTGTTGTAAATGAAAGTTAAAGAGTCAGTTAAGGATGCTGTTATCTATTACAACTCCATTTTATGGTTCTTAGTTAGAAAGCTACAGTATAAATCTTTGCTTGAGCAACTTTCAAACCCACCCAACCCTCCGCTCTGGTTTCATTGGAAGAAGTGTGAAGTTTGATTGGAGTGTGGCCAGAATTTCAACATGATAAAGTTTGAACCCATCTGAACTGATGCAGCAGTCGTTTTTTTACTACTACAGTGAATTTACTCTTTGAAGCTGCTGTTTAGTGGCTGTAAGAGTTAGTTCAAGGTTTTGATTATACCTTGTACAGCTAGCTCAAGGACATCCTATGTATATATCAAATAAAACAATTCCTGAAAATTAGGAACCAGAGAAGTCAGACTTGTATTTGTTTCAAACAGGCTGTATAATACATAAAACATATGTAAACATTAAAAAAAACAGTTAAATTTGGTGCAATTAAATAGCTGTAACGTGGTTTAACTTGTTCTTGTTTAAACAGTGCAAGGTTAAGGAGTGAAGTCAGTTTATGCAGCCGCATGTAAGCACTGGCCTTGTTATGTCTTTTGAATATGTCATGGTGGCCTCAGATGACTGGTTAAGTATTTTGACCAGCATGGTCCGGAAAGGTGAAGACAACTTTAGGTGTGTTTTTAGTTTTATCATTGACTGCTTTTTTCTTTTTTTTTCTTTTTTGGGGGGGCTCACCTAATCACCTGTCACCGAATTGACCTCTAATTATTACTCTGTTTGGTAAAATTAAGATTTTTAATTTTTTCATAGTCATTAAGGGCTTTCAGATGGTAAGGTCAATTCCCTGCCTCCCTCCCTGTTGTTGTTGCTTTTTTGTTTTTTTTGTTTTTTTTGTTTTGTTTGTTTTTTGACGCATAATCCGTTTTTTGGGAAATGAGGCCAAAGGTCAGATTGTAAAAAAATAAAATAAAGAAGGAGACATGGTCATTGTTTTCACTGTCTGGGTTGTAACAGTCATATCAGAAAATCACTGTTGTCCATATTTACCATAGCTTTCAAGCATTACAACGTTTGCTTGTTTGAAACTATCAAGTGGAAGTTCTTGTCATAGTAGTGTGTAAGAAATTCTTGACAGACATGGAGAGTGTCATTCCAGTCATGATGGAAGTCTTGTGTAATACCAACTTGTCTACCAGGCAGTTTTACTCTTGCCCCATCTGTCAAGTCTGGAGTTGTTTTGTTGATGAGTTTTAGCATGCTCTCCAATTAGGCCTAAGGACACACCTATTTTGGGAGGGGGGGGGCGTCACAGTTATGGGTTCCACAATTTAAAAGCTTAACAGAAAAATTATTTTGCAGTTTTATATTTTTAAATAAATTTTGTGTCAATTACAGTCTTAGTTCTACTTTCTTGTTCTATAAATATGAGCCTGTTACCTGTATTTAGTCTGCTGTGTGGGCTCATCGTTGAACTGTAATTGCAGCAGTGAGTTTTATTAAGCTTTAACTCAGTCTCGACATTCAGACATCAGTAGGTTGTTTTCAGAGAGAGACGGGTGCTGCTAAGTGTTTCAAGTGATGGCTTGTTTTTGTGCACGACCCTCCTTTGTAAATCCCAGTTAAGTTTTCCTCTGTAGTTATGGGTTTGGTTGGAAATCCCTCTCAGATTAGCAGGATGGAAAGGTACATTACAGATGGCTCCAGTCAAAACTTGTCAGTTTTTTCTTTGTTGTTACAGGTTTTGTCATCATTTCAAGTGGTCATTACAACTTTGTACCATCCAAGTTTCAGAACACAGCTACATCTCTAAGAAGTCAGGGGGCGAGAATCACGAGCAGCCAGGTGCTCGTGCAGGTTTGAAACAAATCCCCAGTGTTAGTCAGTTTTATTTGGAAGAGAAGGCAAAGATTATCAGTCATGTTATAACCCAAACTGTCGATTGCATACATTCATCACAGTTTACAGAAGTGCTTCTTTGTTCAATTTTGACCTGCAGTACTTCCCATGGTTGTGCACAGTGCACACAGTTTTCTGTGCAGTGAGGTATTATTGCAGAAATTATGTTCACCTGTGGTTTTGCCTCATTTTACTGGCAAATTTGTCTGAACAAGCACCTAACCTGCAGAAAGAAAATAAGACACGTGAGTTGTGATGACCAGGAAATGGTGTAATTAATTACATTCTTTGCTCAGTCTCAGCTACTACTATTTCTCTGTTCCAGTGCCTGAACATAATAATTTATCATACCTAACCAGTTGCAGCAATTTATCAGGTGGAATCCATGTTCTTGCAAGCCCCCTATAATACCTCACTTTTATGGAAACAGACCGAAGGATGCAAATTTACTTCCCCTAATGCCTCCTGAACCTGCTGAGGTGCAGTCATTTCGGCACCATCTGCATCAGCTTGAGCTCCTTCATAACGATGCAATGCACTATTGTTGTGTGCGGAAAGCTCAAGAAATCTGAGTCGTTGGAGGGTGAGACCTGCAGCGGGGACTTAGAGGGCGGGAGGGAGGGGCGTGAAGAGAAAGAGACTGGTGTTGAATGGTAGGTCTTGTCTGAAAACTTGCAGGTAGAGATGATACTACTCCCCCCACCACCATCTACACACAACCAAACACAATGAGGTGAAGATGGTGTAAACATGTCAGTCTCTGATCAAGTTCAGCAACATTCTTGTGCTTTTGGGGGGAAAGGGGTTAAAGTTAGTATATCTTAAGCATTTGGATGTTTTTTTTCTTGAGGGTGTACTAAAAATGGATGCCATGTGCCCAACTGGTTTATCATTAAGTCACTGGTGTTCTTTTTTTTTATCATATCACAAATCAATATTATCTGACAGCAATCCAGTTCTTTAGACATACTCTTTAATATGATTATGCAACTTACAATACAATGTCACTGGCCCCTTTATTTTTATTTACAGATGTGACGAGAGATACACAACACGACAGCATGCCTTGAAGTTTGTAGTTATTGAAGGGTGTATTGCAATTGGTAGTTACTGGAGGGATGGGGTATTTTCCGTTTTCAGTTTGAATTTTAATATAATTAAATGTGTGCATTAAGAAGCATGTATTTATGTGAAATGTTTAATTACTGTAACAAGACGTCACTCAACTTACTTTTTTTTTTTTAAGTAATTACTGATTAAGGGTTAAATAATACAGTTGCTAACAAAATTGAATAACAAAATATTAATGTATGTGCATTTGCAGAAACGTATAAAATGATATCAGCCAAAATGTGGTTAAGCTTTATTCTGCTTGTGTGCCTGCTAATATTTCTAACCATGTGCTCTCAGGTTCACACCCTTTCTCAGCCACACCCTGCTGAAGACCCCACATGACTCAGACCAGTGTTGGTGTTTTCTGTTTATGTCCCAAATGTGTAATGTGACTTAAGCTTCTCTTACTTGACCCTCTTTATTGCACAGTAGTAGCGGAGGTAATGGAGTTTTCTATTTCGGCAAATATTTCATTGGGCATGAGGTGGGCATGCTATAATATTTTTTAAGTTTTCACATGACAAAGTGGCAGAACGAGCCTGGATGAGGTTGAGTTGTACCTGGGGCCAAATAATTGGATAATTGTGGGAGTGGTAATGAAGCTTGTGCACATGTGCCCAATTTCTCAATGAGTGAGATTTATAAAGCAGAACCGTTGCTTTTTATATGTATGCATATTTCTGATTTTGTGCGTACGCATAGGTTTAGTCATCAATCTACAGAGTTTTATGCATCTGGCCCCTGGTCTCCAGGTGATGGTGCTGTCTCTGGCGGACAGGAAGAACACACTGACTAATGCCTTTGTTTTCTTTTGAGTGTTTGTCATCATGCTGGCTTGATTGGAATGCATGTCATTGTTTAGCTATGTGCAACTAATATTAATTCATCTGATTTCACCTGCTCAGTTTCAACTTGGCTGAAGTCGTTGCCATTCAAGACTTTGTGCTGACCTGTTTAAAAGTTTTGAGCACATGAAGGAACAAAAATAAATCTGTTTGAACATAACTTGACAAAAGAACTCTACTGTCCACAGTGTTGTTAGGCCAGAGACTAATCACCACTAACTTATTATTGGTGCTTTGTTATTGTTGGTTTGGCTCACAACATGAATTTTGGCATTAACCTTTGAAGGCAATGCATCAGCCTTACTATCTATCTGACTTTTCAGAGCAGATTTAATCCTGGCCCATCCACGTGCACTGCTCCGGAGGTTTTTCACATTGCATAGCTTGACCTGAGATTTGTACAGTGACAAGACCTTGGCAGCAAAGTCACACTCCTCACACCAGTGTGTCACATGCTGGCAGAAATTCCTGTGCTCAATGCTATAATGCATCTGCTGCACATGTTCCTGCATTTACACTTACCAAGTCAACAGACCCTCCATTGGATTATACTGTCTTGATTTCCCAAGATTCACTTGCAACTGTGTCAAACACTTGAAATCAACAACCAGTAGAGTTGAATTTGTTTTAATAGACCTCTTATGCACTTCAAGATGAAGTTATAGATGTGTGGTCAATCAGTACTTAGTGTAGTGAATTGGTCGTAGTCCAAAACAGATTCACTTTATTTGGCCCTGGAAACAACAGGGTGTATCTGCAGCACACATGTAGTCTGGGATTTTACTGAAGCATGTGTAATTTAAAAAATTGAAATGTTTTACACACTGCTGACACTCTGCACGACTGCTGCAGCACCAGTAAAATGGAAATAGTAGCAAGTATTTCTATCTTTCCGACAACTTTGACTGGTTGTGATTTTTACTTCCGTAGGTTTAGCATGAGGGATTGTGGTGGTTTGATGGATCCTCTTTGAGTCACACAACATTTTCGATGACTATCACACTTCAGAAGTCAACCATATCAGAGGTCAGGGGTTAAATAACTACGTTTTTAAACCACCACAATTGGCGTTTCCACATCCTTCCGCCTTTACGCTGTGCTGATGCTTATTTTGCAAGGTGTTGGCTTCACCGGACAAGATGACTGTCATATTTGCGATGGCTCTGTCAGTGACTATAGCAGAGTACGATGATCTATTTTGTTGTCAGGTGTATTCGGGGGAGGGGCTAAAATGAACTGGAGTGCTGCCACCACTCCCCCCACCTCCCTCCAGGGCCAAAGTGACAGGTAAAACCAGCCCAGTCAGTCAGATACAGTGCGACACTGAAGAGGATATTTACAATGACAAGATCATCTTTGCAAGAGATTCAGATTATACAGACTGCAAGGGTTCGTGTTGCTAATAAATTTTACTTACCAGCCCCCCATAGCTAAATTCAGAGAGCATTGTCTAGCTTTGCGAGGCTGTTTTGCTCATCTGCTGGTCTGCAAGAATGAACACTGCCTTGCAGACTGAACACAAATGTTTGAACTCTCAACAGTTAAACCATTGTGTGCAGTTTTGACGAGGACACATTGATAACTAGTAATATTCACAAATCTGAAGAAACGATGAAGGAAACTGCAGGGGTTCCCCATACATCCATCCCTGTAGTGATCCACAAGCAGAGCATGTAATACTATAAGTATTATACTGTTAAGTGTTATTGTTACTAAAGATTGTTTTATTCCTTTGTGAATCTCCTGGGTGTGACAGTTAGATCAGAGTAAGTGATTTCCTATCAGAGAGAGCAAAACCTCCTTACACAACTCACTCAGAAGAATTTTAAGCATTATCGTATGAGTCATCTCTTCCCTTTGCAACAATAGTTTTTGTCTGCCATTAACTTCACTGTCCAACCCTGAGTAAACATCAAGGTTTTATGATGCTTCCAAGCTGTGGAGCTCGAGTGTGTGTTGATTCCGCTGTAGGCTATTATGTTGTGCTCATTTTGTTGCCAGTAAACTGGACATGTGAGCTTTGTCTTTGAAGTTTATGAAGCAAGCATATGGTAGTTTGTGTGGTTATGTTAAGCATAATTGTAATTGTAAATAGACAATACAAAAATAAAGTAAAAATAATGATATATGAAAAGCATTTGAAAATGTGTCTGCAAAGCCGGGGGGGGGGGTCCACACTGGGATTACGCAGGTTGAAACAAATACACAATTTTTACATCTACTCCTTCGTTTGTTTCAGGCATTTTAAGTCATGATTGATTGTCCCACAACACAGAAAAAGAAATGGAAGCTAGTTTTGCTTTATGGGTGTTGGCCGGGTAGAGAGCCAGTAACAGCGCAACAATGGCCCCCTTCATGATAACAGAGTCTCCACTGATTTCTCGCCCGCTGCCTGTGAATAATATTATCAGCCCACCCCTGAGAGAAAACTTACAGGGCGACTCCAGAGTCGTGTGTTTGTGTGTGTTGGATGTTTCAGCGGGTGGAGGGTGTGACCAGGAGAGTTTAAAAAAAAAAAAAAAAAAAAAAGGGGGGGGGGGGGGGCTCTCACTAGTAGCTAGTTAAATTTTTTTTTGTGGTATGGGTTTAAATAGGGGCCATCTCACTCTCACCCCAGTTGTACTCTCTTGGACGCTCGCTCACACACAGTGCTCGCTCTCTCTCTCTCTCTCTCTCTCTCTCTCTCTCTCTCTCTCTCTGGCTCTGCCTCTTTTCCTCCCTCTCCTTCTGTGAGCTGGTTATTCATCCACTGTGTGAGTCAGGGAGGGTGGGGATTTGGAAGACTGCTGTACCAGTCACACTTTATCAGTTTACTTTCTCATTCCCCATCTCTCTCTCTCTTTGTGTCTGTCTTCCTCTCCCTGTGCTGCTGTTTTTCTTTTTGCTGCTGCCACCCCTGCCTGCCCTGCCTGCCTGCCTGCCCTGCCTGCCCTTATAGTTTACGAAGAGGCTTTACCGTGCCGTGAAAAAGGAGTCACGCTTGCTTTTGATGATTTAAGGGGAAAATTCTAGTCTCAGGTAAGTTGCTAAATGTTATGTAGAAGGTGAACTAACTTGTGTGTGGAGTTTGCCCACATGTTGAGCAGCTCAGGGTGTTTTTTAAAAATTTCTTTCCCCTTAGTTTTCCTCAGTAGGTTTCTGTTCTTTTGGTGTTTGAGGATCTCAGGCTGTTCTGTTTACAGTGTCTCTTTTTATGAGTGTGTTTGAGTAATGGGTTCCTGGCTACACCTCTCTGATTTTTCGTTTCTTCATCTCGGCTCCAGTTTGTTCATCATTAACTCCTACCTCGTGAGTGTGAGCTCCCTTTTTCCATCCCTATGATTCATTGACATGGCTCTCATAGGAAATGTTCCCCCTCCCTCTCCACTGTACTATGTCTCCTTGGTGGATGTAAACCAGCCATCTTGTTGTCAAGGTTGCCTAATATTGAATGTGTGGTTGTGGTGAGATATACAGAGGGAGTGACTTTGTTTAATGTAGGACTTTAAAACAATTTTAGTTTGGTCACAAGAATAGAGTGGTATAACCTAGGGCGGATGTAGATGTAGACTGGTGCTTCAGTGGTCATGTGTCTGCAGCATCACTGTGTCATGGGAATAATACGGGAGACGCTCTTTGGACCCCTCTTCCCCACAGTTATGAGGAAGTTCCTGTCCTCTCGCTGAATTACTACCTGCTATAACTGAACATCAGTGACCATTGAACAACTGAGATCAGGTTTTACCGCCAGTCTAAATTCTGTGGTAATGTGCAAACCTTTAACTTGTGAAGATTAAAGGCAGTGAGGTGGTGTCATTATGTTTGAGTTCAATGATGACCAGATACAATAAATGGTAGAGAAGTGTCGAGAGCAGTGAGGTGCAGTAACTGCTGCTGGTTGTTTGTATGAAATGGGTTTTGTGGTTTCCCTGAGCTGAACTGGAAGGGGTTTCATTTTCGTTTTTCTCCTATCTTCATTTGGGCCTCAGGATACAGAAATATTGTTTCCCTTTTCTTGTTAGTGTTGTCATGATCATAAGACCATCTCCCTGACTCGCACAATCACTTTTATTAATCGGTCAGTATTCCAAAAAAAAACAACAAAAAAAACAAGTGGATCTAGAGTCATGAGTCATGTTGCATGTTCAGTAGTTTGAACGTGAAAACTTGGCACATGGTGCCAACAAACTGACTATCAAAATGTAAATGCTTTACCAACATAATTGGTAATGAAGGGAGATTTCTTTGTCTAGGTGATTATAACACAGTGGCCTTGGATTGTGTAGTGGCAGAGTATGATCTGATCAATTTAACTGTTCAGCATTTTTCCTCAGAACAAGACAGCGTCTGCACTACAGACATGATGGTACTCTTGTTGAAATGTGAGGCGCCTGACCAAATGCCTCATCGTCGGTTCAAAAACAACCACAGCTTTTTGTGTAAGAGTTTTCTGAAGATTTTGTGATGTGTGTGATCTGTTATACAACACCATTCAATTTCATCATGTAAGCGGCTGGAAGTTGGTCAGTGGTATCAAGTGCATCTACCAGGAATTGGTCTGGAATGTTAGACTCATTCACCTGGAAGCTTGACAAGAAGATCGACCACAAAGATACAGCGGCGGTGACGTAGCCCTTTGGTTAACTATTGTAAAAGCCCTGAGGTGAACAAAACTGCAGGGGGCATCTACAAAAAGAAGAGGAATGTCCTGTTTGTGAGAGAGAATCTGTTTTACACTGTATGCCTGTGCTGTTCAGTTTTGACTCTTGACACAATGAATGCACAAAATATTGAGGGGACTTTTTCATCAAATATAAAATGTATTTAGATAAAAATGATAATTTTTCTTCTTTGATGCTTTTTCCTCCTTTTTGTAATCACAAAGAAACATAATCAGATTACGTTATATTTTGAGCCAGTTGATTTGGATTGTGCATAAAGGGCTGCAACTCGGTACAAGTTTCATTTTATATTTTCCGCAGTCAATGTAAGTTTGTGTCTAACGATGTAAGATGTTTTACAGTCATTCACTTGAAGCACTCAGTCAGTTGCAGGCTGAAATGGCCTGGAAAATGAATGTCCCGTATCCAATTTCCTACATTTCCTTGCAAGTTACATTTCCTCTTTACGCATCCTGTGATAACAAAGCATTTAAAACTGTCACCAAAAGCAGGTCGGCATCCTTAAACTTGGACCCAGCTAATTATTGGCAAACACTGTATAACTGTAAAATTTCTTTTTACTGTATTCTTTTTTTTGCCATTTTTCTGAGCAGCACCTGCATGAGCTCGGCTCCCTGCCCCTCATTCTCCAGCCTGAAACTATTAGCTTTAATTATATTGGCTCAGGGAGGGTTGGACTTTAGTCCTTGGGCAGTGAAGACTCAATATTGTAGATTGTACATCAAACAATAGCTCCCTCTGGGCCCAGTGTGTTGAGAAGAGACCGCACCCTGCATGTCCTCTACTTTGTGACTACAGTTTACACTTGATACGGTTAGGCTTTGTCAACAGAAATCTGCAGGTCTGAAAACCATAGCAACATTCCTGTGTGCAGGACTGCATGTCGTGGCACTTTCCATTAGCAAAATACTTCTCCCTATTTTTGTTGTTGAGCTGACAGATTTGGTTTGCAGTGGCAGTTTTCCAGTAAATGTAGTTGCCACATAACAAGAAGGAACACTGGTTGTTAGCTTAAGGAACTGCGATATCTGTATCAGGGTTCAGCAGCTTGCTTTAAGTTCAGTGATCAGCAACTTTCCCTTTTTTCTTTTTTCTTTTTTTTCTTTTTTTTTTTTGTTGCTGGCAGCTGGGTTCATGTGAGGAGAGCAGTCTGGATATTGTGTCTTAACTTGTGGACTGACTCCTGCACACGAACAGCTTGAAGAGTGCCGCCTCACTGTGGGATGAGGGATGTCCTCTCGGTTCCCTGTAGCACCTCCTCTCTGATATCAGGCCATGTCTGATGAGTGGCTGGAGCCAGGGCAAAGCATCCTGGGATTTTTAGGTGGGAGTGTTTGCTTGGTGAGGGCTGAACTTCTCTGTTCCAGTAATTGCATTTCAGTCTCGCTGAATCAGGAAATATCACAACATTCTCCTCCTTTAAGGCATTTGAGGCATTTATTGGTCACGGGTGATGACCAGCAACACACAGGCAATGAATGAAAGATGTGAATTTTATTTTTGTGCACCGGCATTCATGTAATTTACTCTTAAAGGAGAAGACTGCTGAATTTTATTTTGCAATGTCTGAAATTTTAGTGTGTAGAATGAATTTGCACAATAATGAATTTTCACAGAAGCTGAATGAAAAAAGATGGGGAAGGAGATTGGCACCTTATCCAGTTCCTAAATGCATCAGAAAACTTACTTATGGATCAAGATGTGTCCAGAAAGTGCATCTTTTCTCTTTGACATACAACAAAACATTGTTTTCTTGAACTGAATGATGTTTTGTTCATTGAATTGCTGTCATGGGACTGGTGGAAGGATTGCTGCTGTGCGTGGCTTTGATGAGGTGAAACTAATGGTGATCTCTTTTTTGCAGATAACTGGGTCATAACAAAACAAGATGGTCAAAATGCTTCAAGAGATTCAGGAAATTGGCTCACATGCCATGGATATCTACGACTACCTCTTGGCAGGAATTGGTAAGTGACTGACCTGACAAAAAAATACTTTTTTTTTTTTTTCCCCTTTGTTTTTTAATATCATGTTATCTTTTTTTCTCTTTATCTCTAGATCCACGACTGAAGAACTATCCACTGATGCAGAGTCCTGTTCCCATGACTGCAATATTGCTGTGCTACTTATTCTTTGTACTGTACCTGGGACCTCGCATAATGGCTAATCGCAAGCCCTTCCAGCTAAAGGAAGCCATGATAGCCTACAACTTCCTGCTAGTGGCGCTGTCGATATTCATTGTCTATGAAGTGAGATGCTTTTCCGCACATTTTGAATATTTCAGATATTGCACACAATGCTGCTGTCTGAATAGACATGGCTAAATTAGTGTAGTTTGGTTGAATTTCTATTTGGAAAGATCTGTTTTAAAATGTGCATGTTATTAGCTAATGACTTAACTTCAATGCAGTGTAAAGTAAATACAATTTTACTGTTCTTTAGTTCCTGATGTCTGGTTGGGCCACAACATATACCTGGCGATGTGACGCCGTTGATACCTCCAACAGTCCTCAAGCACTACGAGTGAGTCCCTCATTTCTCCTCAGTCACACATACTATAATCCTTGACTGATATCAGCCGAAGTCATTATTCTCTAGCTGTGCACGTGTTCGCTAATGACCATTTCCTGTTAACTTGACTCTGTATTCACCTCACCAGATGGTCCGAGTGGCCTGGCTGTTCTGGTTCTCCAAGATTATTGAGCTCATCGACACAGTAAGTCCAGTCCATTTAACCCGACGGCAATTTTACCACCTGTTGTGATCAGTTTTGTTCAGCAGAGATTCAGGGTTTTTCTTGGCTCAAAATGAGAGGGAAGTGGCACCATCCTGATCACGTGCACACACGTGCATGTGTAATGAGCCGTCGACGCGTCTAGTGAATCCGGCGCAATTTCCTAAAGTACAACCATAAACGATTTAGGTTTCAGATTAATATTAAAGATCAAGATTTCATATTATCACAGATTAAAGATTTCAGATTATACAGATTAAAACAGAAATTTTTGTGAATACAAAGGTTAGTAAGTTTCTTCTGGAAACTGCGCAAGGCTAATGTAAGGATTGCTAACGCAGCGAGGAGGTGCTGATTGTAGCCTAGTCAGTGCTCACTTTCCCTTGTATAACACTAGAATGAGCTACATTGATAGTAATTATTGTCTTCTCAACTGAAAAGACACTAACTGGATCAAAACCATCAGTCCAAAAGCTGTCTCTAAAGATCCTTATCTTTCTATCTTCTTTTTCTTCTTCTTTCAGTAACTGGATCATGCTTTTTTTATATTCAGTAAGTGCTCTGAAAGCGTCTGCAGTGTACCTGGCAAGTCCAGCCATTGTTAGCAAGGTAGATGTCCACTCAGAGGGGAGTCAGCTTCACCTTGACTTTTAAACCTTCCTGCTTTGCAGGATATTCCTTGTTTTGCATGGTTTTAAGTAGTGCATTTTGTTAACATCCCTGCCTTCATAACTTGTCTATTAAGTATGTTGATCTTTTATATGTTGTGTCCTGTTGTACACTTTAACCAGACTGTTTGTCAAGGCGTGTGTACTATGTATTATGATCTTTTGTGACGTGTGTGTGTTTGTGGTCTCCCCGTCTGTGTGTTTTCTCTTTTGTATCTTCTATCCCTTCTCTCATGATGCTAATGTTGCAGATACACGCCGTGGAAAATGAAAGTTTCCTATTTGGGGGGTCCTCGTTGTGGGATCTTCGCCGTGCCTACGGAGATGAAACTATACTCTCCGTAGCCTTTGTGACGGCTCGATTCCCATATCTAGATCAGCAGTTGCAAGCTCGTTTTGTATACAGTGGGTGGAGGAAAAATGCACTGTTTGAATAAGGGGTGAGTGTGTCCATTCCTGTTTGAAAGTCAGGTGGCAGCTCTAGATGAAAGCTGTTTGGCTGAAAGAGAAAACAAATGAACATATCACGTCAAACATTAGATTAATGAAAATGTTATAATACTGTATTGTTGTATTTACAGTCCTCTCAATCTCACCTTTACTTTTTGTCGAGGTGTAGGTCACATGGATAGTCATTTAATGTTTGGTATCCGTCGAAGAGTTATAGAAGCGCCATCGTGGGAAATCCATTGGATCTAGCAGCACCGAAGTATGTTTCCAGAAGTAGAATACAAAAAAGGTAAATTGATCTGTGAAGATCATACTACTGGTGAAAAGTAGATAGTGATAGTATATATTGAAATCAACTGGAAGGTCTACTAATAGTCCTCCTCTCTCTTTCTTTGGTGATGAATGTGTTTGCAGAGTGTTCTTCCTGCAGACAGGGGGGATCATCTCAAAGGAGGAACGACCGACTCTGCTAACACAACCGGCTAACAGATGCGATTGCCCGGGGCGTTTTGCTTGGCAGCTGTGTCCACACCTCAAACTGGCTCAAAGATGGACCGGGCAATGGGCAAGCTGGGGCTGCTGTAACATTGTATTCTCAAGAGGTCAGAAAAAGATGTCCAATATATCTGGTAAAAATTGGCCTCAGTGCTGCCTCCTAGTTAAGAACAGAGTCTGGCAGAATATGTTTAAAAAATGGAAAAAAAAACTGAAATAATCCCTTTTGCCTTAATGATTTTCCAGTAATAATGGTATAATTCTTTTTTAAAATTTAGCTGTAAAATAATTTAGTTTCATATGTATAGAATAGGCAGCATTCTGCCTAAAATGGGAGAATTTCATCTCGGTCCATCGCGATAGGTGAGAGCATGCAACATACGACTCACCATCATGCATACAGCTGTAAAGTTTTATAGTTATAAGCTCCTGGGCTTTGATTTCCTCCACGTTAAAACTAATTAGTGGTTTGCTTTGTTAATTTCAGGTGGGATTTGTGGCTGGGAGCAATGGGCCAGCCCCTCCCAGCCTCAGTATCTCAATGCCTGAGATAAGCGCTGATTCCCTGATACAGCAGCAGGGGCGCAAGAGGGTCGACGAGCCCATGTGATGGAAGCTTCATCGTTTACATCCTGGATGAACATCACTCTACGAGCGAACACACCCACCTAGTTCATCTTTTAACCCTGACCAAACTCTGTCTCCAAGCAACGTCTTCAATCAGTGCTGCCATCTGTTTCCAGGGCAATTAAAAGCATTCAGAAGGCGAACCAGACCACATCCAAGGTCTTGCATCATCTCATCCACCAACGAGTAGCGAGGAAGTGTCTGATCTTTAGTGGTTTTCTGATCTCACTACTAACCTGCAGCAGGACAATCTGGTACGCATGAAAACTATGATGGACCATCAGATCAAGGGTGCTGTACGTTGCCATGTATAGCAACTTCATAGCTTGAATAATCATTCTCAAACAATCAAACATAAAATAAGTCACAAAATAAAATGTTCAATACAATTTCCAATATGGAGAATACACTTTAAAGTGGGAGCTGATTCAGCCCCACTGACCCTTAAGGCAAACAGAAAAAAGAGACATTGACTTGAATATCTATGTAGTAGCTCCGTAGCAATTGATGCACCACTGAATGAATGGTGTCTACTAAGAATGTTTATCATACTGATGTATTTAACTGACTTGCTCATTGAAGACTGTCAATGTCAGCCTGGAGATTAAACGCGCAACAATTACTGAATCAACTGACTGTTTAATCCAGGACAGCGTCTGCAACAATTAGGAAGTCGATAGCGATTCCAGTGTTTTGATGATTCTCCACCTTAAGATATAACATTTTTTATTCTTGCTACCCTGTATTTATCTCAAGCTCCCTGGCAAATCCTTGTTTACCAGTCACTGTAGTTTAATTAGATGAAAGACTAATATATATTTTAAATTGCTACGTCCTCAAACCAGCTACATTAAATTGGTAATAATAAATCAACAATCAGACAGCGCATTCTGCTTGCATATCGGATAATTTGTTTAAATACTGATAATATTTCTGCACTGTAAGTTGTCCCATATGGTACCGACCTTTAAACTTGTAATCAAGTATTTTAAATGACAGTATTAATCTTTTAATTTTTTATGATTATATGAATACTTATTTACAACTGTATCATAGTGATTTGAAATTGAATAGTTCCTGCGAGTATCAGTTTCATAAAACAACTTTTAAAGGAGGGATTATTTACAGCTGTGACAGAGCCGGTCTGTAAAAATTGACCAAAATGTCTATCTTACATTCTGTATCAATGGTTCATTGTAGCTCATATAACAGCGCATTATGGGATATAAGGAAACGTCTATAATAACTGAAATATTTGCATCCCAGCTGTTTTATTGTGTGGTCATGTAGTATAGGTGAATGCAGTATTCAGGATGCTTTCCCTCTGCCTCTGTACGAAATGATCTTTTTCAAACAAAGCAGTAATGGGATCTTTTGTTACCCTCCTACTTGTGCTAAAATACTTGGGATCCAAGACGACAGAGCACCTGCATGCAAATGTAAAAATACTTTCATTCTTTTCTGCTGCACAGCACAATGTCAGTCTTCCGAGACCTGACAACTAACTGAAAACTTCTCCGCAAGTTACACATACAGTAAACGCACTTGTTCTACAACTGAATATTGTTACACACAAAGTGTAAAACAAGAGAATAAAATTAAAATGGAATTTATTGGCATTTTAATTTTAAATAAACAATGTACAAAATTTAGAAAAGTCTAAAGCATACAATACAATTAGTTATTTTTTTTTTGTTTATTGTAAAACTATTTACAAAAAGTATTTCCAAGTTGATAGAAACTGTACAGTCATCTGTCCACAGGGGGGGTCAGGAGGGCATGGGGTCAGATAAGGTAGGTGAAGGCAAGTGGGGTGAAAAGCCACCTCTGTGACACTGAACTAGGAGGTTGTTTGCAACATCAGTGAAGATAACATTTTGGTCAGAAACATCTTCTCTTCATACATTGTGTTTCCATAGATGGTTCCCCAACTCTCAAACAAATGAACGAACAAACCAACTAAATGTGGGACCCCAACTGTGGAAATCATTGACCACGTCATTTCCCCATGTTTTGCATATAAAACTAAAAACAGGAAAAGAAACACAGCCAAATTATCTTTGGAATCCGTAGTAGTTTTAACAGGTTCGCGGGGTCATATTTCTTGGGTGTTTCCTCCAAAGATCCTAGGCCTTCTTCATCTTGCCCATGTAGTGCTGCGTTCTCATGGTGAGACAGAGCCATTGCTGGTGCCGTTGGGGCTCCGTGGTGATACATGCTGGTGCCGTTCTCCGTGGTGTGTTTGGCCCATTCTCTGGCATTTATCTTTGGTGTATACAGCTGTGCCATTCTGACACGGCTTAATGTCCTGTTTGTGGCAAGCCGCTTACCCTTCACGTAAGCCTGGATCCAGAAGTTGGAGAAGAGCAAGAGAAAGAAGGTTCCATACATCCAGATGAGGTGGAGGATCATGGGGAACTGGTAGTCGCAGCTGTCCATGAAGTAATACTGGGTAGCTGGACAGATACTAGCACAAACTGGATCTGTTGGGGAGAAATCAGTAGTCAGCCAAAGACTTACTATATATATATGTAGATGAATTTATCTCGGTGCTCGGGAGCAGAAGGGTGGATATGAACAACAAAACTACAGGGTGTACATACGAGCTGAATGGCAGTCATGTATTCTTCCACCACAAAACTTCTGGAATTGTGGTCCAGCAGCAGCAAGGCCATAGTAGAAATACATGATGACGTGGACAGAAGAATTCACCATGGCGTGGAAGGATCCCATTCCACCTGGAGTAACATCACAAAACATTAGACTGACTCCACCAATGTAGCCAAAGAACCTCTGACCTTGCAAGGAAATCAAGAAGAGACCGTGGAGGTTTTACAAAGAGACTCTTGTTAATCATTTCTCATGACTAAACAGAATTCAGTCATTTACACGGTAGCCTGCGCATGGTTTCTTGAAGGGCTCAACAAAGACCAAAGTAGAAACCAAACAAAAGACATTGTGGTGATAGTAGAGGTCTACATGTAAAAGAGGATTAAGTGACTATGCTACACACGCTGGCTGCTTGTGTCACTCCATTTATCAGTGTTTAACTGATGAGTCAAGATTTAGTAAATGTGTACCCACCAGGAGCGTAGCCAACTCCCCACCCCAGGTCCAGGGCATGAAGGAGTGGTGAAAGATGTGCAGAAGGTGATCTGGCCTGTGCTTTTTCCTCAACACGAAGAAGAGCTGACCGAAAGAGGATATTTGATTAGTCAAAGCCATTCCCAGGGTTTTTACCTGCATAGAGAATTACAAGGTGGCTGTCTCTGTCAAATTTTGTGCCCGCCTCAAGCTCTCGACAACATCTTCTTACCATCACTTTTTATTCATCTTAGCCACATACATTTTAAACTATCTCCTGAACCCTGGAATAATTAAAGTTTGCGTATTTCAGTATTAATCGATAAAGACGACGACAGAAAAAAACATCAAACTTTTTAAAAAAGCAGTCCGTGGTTGTGGACATTGGGGTAATGTTTGTCACTGTAAAATCTGAATTTTGGAAGATGACAAAAAAAAATAAATAAATAATAAAATAAAAGAAAAAAACACATTTTTCTCTCATTTAGCCAAATATCAGCTGAAAAATATTGAATTGGTAAAGATTTTTTTTGTGAATTTGTAAATGTGACACAAGGCAGCAAGATTGTTAAGCGGCTGAAAGAAAAGTTTATTTACATTTGTGATTGTCTGATGATTTTATTCCAATTAATTATATCATTTAGTTTTAAAATGTCATGAAATTGTGAAAAATGCAAACGGTACATCTAAATCGTTTATGGTTGTACTTTAGGAAATTGCGCTGGATTCACTAGCACCTAAATAGTTCTTGTGAGAAGCGTCGACGGCTCATTACACATGCACGTGTGTGCACGGTGATCAGGATGGTGCCACTTCCCTCTCATTTTGAGCCAAAGAAAAACCCTGAATCTCTGCGAACAAAACTGATCCCAACAGGTGGTAAAATTGCCGTCGGGTTAAATGGACTGGACTTACTGTGTCGATGAGCTCAATAAATCTTGGAGAACCAGAACAGCCAGGCCACTCGGACCATCTGGTGAGGTGAATACAGAGTACAGTTAACAGGAAATGGTCATTAGCGAACACGTGCACAGCTAGAGAATAATGACTTCGGCTGATATCAGTCAAGGATTATAGTATGTGTGACTGAGGAGAAATGAGGGACTCACTGGTAGTGCTTGAGGACTGTTGGAGGTATCAACGGCGTCACATCGCCAGGTATATGTTGTGGCCCAACCAGACATCAGGACTAAAGAACAGTAAAATTGTATTTAGCTTTACACTGCATTGAAGTTAAAGTCATTAGCTAATAACATGCACATTTTAAAAACAGTCTTTCCAATAGAAAATTCAACCAACTACACTAATTTAGCCATGTTATTCAGACAGCAGATTGTGTGCAATATCTGAAATATTCATGTGCGGAAAAGCATCTCACTTTAGACAATGAATATCGACAGCGCCACTAAGAAGGAAGTGTTGTATGCATCATGGCTTCCTTTAGCTGGAAGGGCTTGCGATTAGCCATTATGCGAGGTCCCAGGTACAGTACAAAAGAATAAGTAGCACAGCAATAATTGCAGTCATGGGAACAGGACTCTGCATCAAGTGGATAGTTCTCAGTCGTGGATCTAGAGATAAAGAGAAAAAAAGATAACATGATATTAAAAAACAAAGGGGAAAAAAAAAAAAGTATTTTTTTTGTCAGGTCAGTCACTTACCAATTCCTGCCAAGAGGTAGTCGTAGATACCATGGCTGTGAGCCAATTCCTGAATCTCTGAAGCATTTTGTGACCATCTTGTTTGTTATGACCCAGTTATCTGCAAAAAAGAGATCACCTTAGTTTCACCTCATCAAAGCCACGCCACAGCAGCAATCCTTCCACCAGTCCATGACAGCAATTCAATGAACAAACATCATTCAGTTCTAAATGCATCAGAAAACTTACATCAAGATGCTATGTCCAGAAAGTGCATCTTTTCTCTTGACATACACACAAAACATTGTTTTTTTCTTCGAAGCATGTTTTGTTCATGTGAATTGCTGTATGGACTGGTGGAAGGATTGCTGTTCTGTGCGTGCTTTTGATGAGGTGAAACTAATGGTGAATCTTCTTTTTTGGCAGATAACTGGTTTCATAACAAAGAACAGATGGTCGCAAAATGCTTGTCAAGAAGATTCAGGAACACGCTCACATGGCACACTGGATATCTTACGACTACACTCTTTGGCAGTGAGATGGTAAGTGACTGACCTGAAAAAAAATACTTTTGTTTGTTTTTTTGCCCCTTTGTTTTTACTATGCATGTATCTTTTTTTCTCCTTTAATCTCTAGATCCACGACTGAAGACCATCGACTGATCGCAGAGGTCCCTGTTCCATGACGTGAATTTCGCTGTGCTACTTATTCTTTTGTAAGCTGGTACTGGGACGTTCGCATAGATGCTAATTCGCAAGCCCTTCCAGCTAAAAAAGGAGCCATAGATTAGCCTAACAACTTCCTGCTAGTGGCGGCTTGTCCGATATTCATTGTCTATGAAGTGAAGAATTTGCTTTCCCGCAATTTTGAATATTTCAGATATTGCACACAATGCTGCTGTCTGATAGACATGGCCTAAATTAGTGTAGTTTGGTTGAATTTCTATTTGGAAAGATCTGTTTTAAATGTGCATGTTTATTAGCTAATGACTTAACTTCATGCAGTGTAAAGTAAAATGTCCAGTATTTTTACTGTTCTTTAGTTCGCGTGTATGTTATGGGCCACAAACATATACTGGCGATGTGACGCGCCTTGTTGAATACCTCCAACAGTCTCAAGCACTAAACGAGTGCAGTCCCTCATTTTCTCGCCTATCAGTCACAACTGAGACTATATCCTTGAACCTGATATCAGCCGAAGTCATTGGATTCTCTAGCTGTGCACGTGTTCGCTAATGGATCCATTTCCTGTTATACTTGACTCTGTATTCACCTCACCAGATGGTCCGAGTGGCCTGGCTGTTCTGGTTCTCCAAGGATATTGAGCTCAAATCGGACACAGTAAGTCCCAGTCCATTTAACCCGAAGGCCAATTTGTACCACCTGTTTGTGATCAGTTTTGTTCAGCAGAGATTTCCTGGTTTTCTTGGCTCAAAATGAGAGGGAAGTGGCACCATCCTGATCACAGTGCAC